GGGTCGTTAAAACTTAAAACCCACATTCAAGGTGATATTCGTTCGCTCTTTAATATTAGAACATAAGACGAATAAGTATTGATCAAATATTTCATCATCCTCACCACACAAGCGATAGCTTTTATTATCATGCAAGAACAACAAACTGGTAAGCGTGACCTATTATCTACTCACAAATATTAATCAAATATTTTACAAATTGCTTTATATGTATCATATATATAAATATATACGATCATGTTTAAATATTTATTATTCATTGTTTAAAGTTTTTGGTGGATTAGGAACAGATGTACCGAAAAAGGAGGAGGACCTGTGGAAGTGCATAAAAGTAACCTTATGGAAACTATTTCAGGCTAATTTATGTGGTGTCATCCTATACTTGTTCATACTCAGGTTTATAAGAGATGTGTTTGTTCATTCACACAGCCACTTCTCCAGATTAGACGTCACTCTTCGTGTCATCTTCTCGATAATTCTCGTAATCATATTTGTTTTCTTGATTATTTCTACTATTTTGGATATTCCAAAGATTTATAATCGTATTACTTGTAGAGAGGTGATGATAATTGAGTCGTATAAGTATGTTTTAGAGGCTCAGGACAAAGTGTAATTCATCTTCATCATTATTACATGAATTATGGGTTTATTTATTTAATCTAATTCGAATTTGAATATTGTTGAAATCCGTGTATATTATTGCTGGGGTTGTTTACAATAGTTACCATGCATGAAATTGGTTTGATTTGGACTAAGATTTTGGTCTATATTTTGGCCTTTTTAACAAGGCAAAATAATCTCTTCCGTATAACGACATTATAATTAAATATTCAGTAAACAAATAAGGGCATATTACAAATAAGCCCATCAGTGGGAACTTATTCATAAAGAGATCCAGACAATATTCTCCTTTACCAATAAGTCCACACATGGTCCAGATTTATGTAAAGGACTAAAATAACCCCTCTTACTTTTATATGCTCCAATTTCATCCTTAACTTAATTTAACTTCAATTTGACCCCAAATTTCACAAATTATTCAATTTTGACCCAAAACTTTTTTTTTTTCACAATTTTTTTTTTTTCAAAAACTTTTTTTTTCTGCCGGATTCCGGCGTTGACCGGCGGTCAACGCCGGTCTCCGGCGTTGACTTTTTTTTTTTTTTTTTTTTTTTTTTTTTCTTCCGGATTTTTTTTTTCCGGATTCCGGCGTTGACCGGCGGTCAACGCCTGTCTCCGGCGTTGACTTTTAATTTTTTTTTTTTTTTTTTTTTTTTTTCTTCCGGATTCCGGCGGTAAACACCGGTCTCCGGCGTTGACTTTTTTTTATTTTTTTTATTTTATTTTTTTTTTAATTTTTTTTTCTGTAACTTTTTTTTCCGTTTAAACAACAATATTGCTTTGAATGACAGTAATATTAACTATATTACTGTTAAACACAGTAAAAATAACTAAACTATAGTTTAACACAGTGATATTGCTATATTAATCTCTAGCACATTAATATTAACACAACAAAATTCATTATTATTGTATAATAAAGTAATATTACTATGTTGTCCGTTCAACAAATTTAAACAAAATAAAAAAAACCAAAAGAATTAATATTACTGTGAGTGACAGTAATATTACTATAGCAACAGTAATATTACAATAGTAGACAGTAATATTATTACGTTACTCCGTGAATAACTCAAACAAACAAAATATCCAAACAAAAGAATAATATTGATGTGGTTGACATGAATATTACTATAACAAACAGTAATATTACCGTCAACCACAGTAATATTATTGTGTTTACAGTAATATTACAATAATAGACAGTAATATTAATACAAACACCACAAAAAATAATAATATTGATGTTGTTGACAGTAATATTATTGTGTTTACAGTTATTTTACTGTCAACGACAGTAATATAATTACATTGACTTGTCAACAAATCAAAAAAAAATAAAAAAAAATAATAATAAATAAAAAAATATAATATTGCATTAATTTACTGTCAACGGCAGCACAATTACATAAATGTAATGTCAACGGTAGTACAATTACGTTAATTAACTATCATTGACAGTATAATTACGTTAATTTACTGTTAGTGACAGCACAATTACGGTCAACGTTTAGCGGCGGACGTGGAAAAACAAAACAAACCAAACAAAACAAACCAAACAAAACAAAAAACTTAAAAAAACACTAAAAAAAGAGACTGCCGGAAACCGGCGAAAAAATCCGGCGGAAAAAAAAATCCGGAAGAAAAAAAAAAAAAAAAAAAAAAAAAGTCAACGCCGGAGACCGGCGTTGACCGCCGGTCAACGCTGGAAACCGGCGAAAAAATCCGGAAGAAAGAAAAAAAAAAAAAAAAAAAAAAAAAAAAAAAATTAAAAAAGTCAACGCCGGAGACCGGCGTTGACCGCCGGTCAACGCCGGAATCCGGCGGCAAAAAAAAAGTTTTTGAAAAAAAAAATATTTTTAAAAAAAAAAAAAATTTTGGGTCAAAATTTAATAATTTGTGAAATTTGGGGTCAAATTGAGATTAAATTAAGTTAAGGATGAAATTGGAGCATATTAAATTATACTCCAAAAAAAAGTCAAAATTGAATTTTTGTGGTCAAAATTGAACTTTTATGGACAAAATTGATTAATTTGGATTACAATTAAGAATTGGGTATAAATGGTTGAGGGTAATATTGGGATATACATGAATGTTTCCTTTAGTTATAATAAATATTAAAGGGATGGGCTTATTGGTAAAAGAGATATGTCCCCTAAACCTAGAATAATAAACATGTTTGGTTGGGGACTTTTGCATAAAAATCCCAACAAATAAAAAGATAAACAATTTCCTTCTTATGTTCTTAGATTCAGTGGATCTAATCTCAACTATCGACTTATAAGAAAATTAATTCCCACGATTATTAGAGATATAAAAAATCTTATAAAAAAAGCCTCTTTGATATAACCTTATATTTTTAATTTCTTTTTTCATTTATTTATTTTTTTCATTTTTTTAAAAAAAATTCTCTATCATAAATATTAATCGACTATGAAGCATATTAATCGACTATGATGAAGCATAGTCAATTAAAGAACTGACTACTAAAAATTAAAAAAACACAACTACATAAAAACGAAAATGAACATTTTTTTTACAAAGCAGATAAAATACATAAATTGTAATTGATTTATACAAATCGGAATCAATACACAAAAATCCAAAAACGAATTAAAAAATAAAATCGAGTAACCTTAATCAACTTCCAAAATTGTCGATTAACACTTTAATTGACTATCAGGGCATAGTCGATTAATTTAATCGATTATGACGAAGCATAGTCGATTAAGGGTCTAGCCGAGCGAATTTCTCTACCCACACGGTCCTCCACTCGATCCACCAAAAATCTCTAGATCTGTCCCCGTCGTCACCACACCGCCGCCACACCACACCATCACCACCCCCACTTCGATATTCTGACGTTTCTTAATTACAAATAAAGTAAATCATAACCCGCACCACCAACCATAAAGTAGAACCCCCACCCATCAAAATCCGACTTTGGCAACAAATCGACAAAAAAATCATCTTCCTCGTACTCAATCCGACAACACGCAGCGAAAAAGCTATCTCCAAGAGAAGGAGAATGAGAAGGAGTGTCGTTCTAGCGGCGCCGACAATTCTTGTTCTTCGCCTCCAGATCGAGAAAGAAAAAATCAGAGATTTTGGTGGGAAAGAAATCAGAAAAAAATATCAGAGAAGAAGAGAGTGCAGAGGCCTGAAAAGAAGAAGAGAGAAATGATAAATATGATTAGGGTTCTTCAAGGGTATATAGACAATTAAGATTTGTTAGGAGTGTTAGTTTAAAGGGGAAGGAGTTTTCTCTAACTACTTTTGGGAGGGGGGTTTTTCTTTACTATATTTTCTAGATGAGGGCGGTGGGGCAATTTTTTTTTTGGGGTTGTTTTAATATCGAGTTTTTAAAATGGGGCTGTTTTTTGAGTAGTAATTAAATTGGGGTTGGCCGCCACCGGGAACGGCGGCATCAGCCGGAGACGCCATTGCCAATGGCGGCACCGGCTGGAGACGCCGCCACCGGTGGCGTCTTCTACCGGATTTTTAATATTTTATTAATTTAATAATTTAATATTTTAATATTATAATATTTTAATATTTTAATATTTTATTATTTTAATATTTTATTAATTTATTATTTAATATATAGACGGTCCAGATTGCACTGGATAATTTCAATCCGACGGCCCAGATCAAGACTGCCATCTCGGGGACCGTGCTTGACCAGGAGACGCCGTTGACAACGGCGTCTTTAGGAGACGCCACCGACAACGGCGTCTCCAATCTCTCTCCTCGTTTCTTTTCTTCCTCCAGCCCTCCTCCTCCATCTCTCCTCCTTTCCTCTTCCTGCAAAATTTCAAAAACAAAATACCAAATTTAGTTTTCAAATTACAAATAAAATATATAATATACCGGCTGCCACCGACGCCGCCAGGCAGCCGCCGCTGCCCGCCGCCGCTGCTGCCCGCCGCCGCTGCCTCCCTCGCCGTCGCCTTCCCCGCCGTCGTCTCCGCCGCCGCCGGTGCTCCGCCGGTGGTGCTCTTCACCCTACGAAGGTAATTTTCATATTATTGTAAATAATTAAAAAAAAAATTTATTATTATAATTTTTTATTATGTTCATATTTTATAATTAATTATTGTAAAATACATGTGATTAGTATTTTTAGGATGCATGTGGGTAGTTAGTTAGTTAGTTAGTTAGTAATTTATTTATTTTATATTAGGTATTAGTACTATATGTATTTTATAAGCATGGGCAAATTTTTTTTTTTGGTGTTGTTTTGTAAAACAGTAGCTAAAATGGTGTTGTTTTGTAAAACATCGGGCAATTAAATTAATGTGACTCATTAATTTTTTAGTGTGCTTAGTTAAATTATTATTTTTTAACTAATATGCCTCATTATTAATTAATGTGGATTGATGAGTTAATTATCTCCTTAATCTTTTGAAGATTGATGGCGGCTAAAACTAATGTCAAAGTGTACGTGTACTTTGGAGGTCACATAATTCCCGATGATTGGGTAGTGCAATATAGTATTGCCCACAAAACAGCATTTCGAATTAAACGTGACTTGTCCTTTGCACAATTTATGTCAAAGTTGTATCAACGTCTAGATGTCGATGTTAATCAGTTTGGGCTAAGAGTGTGTTGCAAATCTTACATTTATAATGGAGAAAGAATGAGGGAGATGATTACCGAGATGACAACAGATGAAGATTTACAAATGTATATTGATCCTGACGAAGGGAATGAGGCAATCGAAGTATTTGTTGAGATTGAACCGAAGTACATTGATAGTGCCCCACCACAAGTGAGCGTAGAGGCATTTGATTTGAATGAACCATATTTCTCACAACCGGAGGTGACTCCGGATTTTCTGGCGGCGACACAAAGCATCCCTAATTATTGTGAGACTAGTGGAGCGAGAGAGGTGCACAGAGATTCCCATACAATTAACTATGGTAATTTAGGGGGATTTGTTGGTGAGTCGAGTTCCGCGAGACGGAGCATTTTCGAAGATGAAGACCCTATAGGTGACTCCTTTGGGCCGAACAGTCCTGTCAATTCCGAACCATCCGATGACGGAGACGACGACAATGAAGATGAAGACGTACAAGATGGTGTTCGGGAGACGTGGTTGCAGCACAACGAGGCGGAAGCAGAGGAACAACCGACGTTGTATGAGTCAATCCCATTTTTCTTGATGACGTTTCCAGAAGTGGCGGCAGATTCAGTTGATGTTGGAAGGGGCCGATATGATAAGTTTTACGATAGCGATCGGGGTATTCTTGAGGTTGGGATGGTGTTTGAGGACAAAAAACGCCTTTGCGCCGCGGTGAGAGACCATTCGATTCGATTTGCTAAACGGGAATTCACGGTTGTCGAAAGTAAGCCGAAGATATGGAGTGTCAAGTGCAAGCATAGCACACCTGAAAGGCCTTGTAGATGGTCGTTACGGGGAATTGAAAAATCGGGCAAAGGATTCTTCCTTATTACGAGATATGGTGGGCCCCACAACTGCATAATGGATGAAATGTCGAATGAGCACAAGAATTTGGACATGAACTACATTGCTGCCTTATTGGTTCAGTCCGTTCGAGATGATCCAGCTTGCAAAATATCACAAGCACAGAATATTGTGAGGTCTCAATTAGGATTTCAACTTTCAAAGATGCAAGCTTGGTATGGTTTGAAGCGTTGCAGAGATAACTTGTTCGGGAGTTGGGAGTCCTCAGTGAACAAACTGCCCAAGTTTATGAAGGCACTTCATAGAACGAACCCGGGTACGGCAATTGAGTGGGTTTTCAAACCAACAGACATTCCAACACGGAAGATGATCAAGTACTTCTTTTGGGCCTTCAAGCCATGCTTGGATGGATTCATGTTCTGTCGAAAAGTTATTAGTGTGGATGGAACTCATCTGTACACTAAGTACAAGCACAAGTTACTAATTGCAGTTTATTTGGACGCCAATAACCAAGTGCTACCACTAGCATTTGCTCTTGTTGACAATGAAACCACGGCGGCTTGGAGGTGGTTTTTTCAAATGCTACACAGACATCTAATTTCTCAAATTCCAGATGGAGAAAACGTTTGTGTAATTTCAGATCGAGCTCCGGGAATTTTACGAGCTTTAGCGGAGTTGCCCGAATTTGCTCCCCCTAATGTTTTTCACAGGTTTTGCTTGAGACACGTGTGCTCCAATTTCAACAAACGTTTTAAGAGTGTAGATTTGAAGGATCTATGCTACAAGGCGGGAGCGGAGTCTCAAATTTGGAAGTTTAACCACATTCTTAATGTGATCAAATCTCGGAGTGTTGAAGCTTATAACTATTTGAAGGATATTGATCAAGAAAAATGGGCATTTGCACATGATGGGGGCAATCGTTGTGGTCAGCTTACTACAAACATGTCAGAGGCTCATAATGGTGTTCTCAAGGGAACTCGAAAACTTCCCATCTCAACAATTGTTGACCTCACATTCAACCGCATTATTAGGTATTTTTCTAATCGTCTTGAACAGGCCAATTTGATGGTTCAGAGAGGACAGTTGTGGTCCACATATGCTTATGGCGTTTACCGGAAACATGAAGCCAAGTCTGTTGGATGTTACACAACTCGTTTTAATCAGCAACTGCTCTCTGCCCAGGTGATCACTAAAGCTCGTCCAGGTGGAGGTGGAAATAACAAACACACCGTGAGTTTAAGGGACCAAACTTGTACTTGTGGAAAATGGAAGCTAACAGGAATCCCCTGCAGTCCTGTCCTCCACGTGTGCCGTGAATGGATGTTGTGTGCCTCCGTATATGTGAACGATTGGTACACTGTTGATCGATTAGTGAACACTTATTCTGGGATATTCCAACCACTGTTGAGTGAACACTATTGGGAGGATGTTGGTTTTGAACTAATTCATGATCCAACACTATTAGGGGATCGAAGACGCAGTCGAATTCCTAATGAGATGGATGTGCCACAAACAAGGGCAAGACAACAATCTAGAAGAGAGGAACAAGCAAGACGGCTCCGATAGTTGTATTATTTATATTATTATTTTCTACGTTTTCACGTCGGACTACATAGTGTCTAATTATCGTGTTTGACTTTGTATTTGACTTTGCATTTGTACTTAAGTAGGCTCTTATTATCGTGTTTGACTTTTTATTTGACTTTGCATTTGTACTTATTATCTGAATCTATCTTAGTGTTTTATTTATTAGTGTGTATTTATTATTACACTTGTGCATATTATCTGAGTGTTCTATGTATATTATTATACAGGATGGATGTCAGTTATGTTTATGGTCCGCGAGACACTTCATTGCTATACCGCCAGTCAGAGCACGTATCCAGATCGATTACATCGGCAAACGTGGATGATGTTGTGCGCGGGAGACGTTGTGATGGTTGGATTTGGGGTTTATATGGAGATGATGGTGATGATGATCCACACCCTAGAGTGATGCAGTACTTAGTTGATACTAGGTTCTATGGAGTATATCGATGTGGTCGTCTCGTAGTCGATTTGCATCTTATTGCAGCTTTAGTGGAGAGATGGCGTCCGGAGACACACACGTTTCATTTTCGAGCAGGGGAGGCGACAGTGACACTTGAGGATGTCGCACTATTATGGGGTTTGCCTGTTGATGGACTACCTATTACTGGACAGGATATTTCATGGTCGAAGGAGCAGTTGCAGGATTATTGTCAGACGTGGTTGGGATATACTCCTTCAGATCGAGCTTTCAAAGGGAGACGGCTCTATGCAGCTGATCTGGCCATATATTTACGAGGATCCAAGATTACCGATGACAGCACGGAGCAGCGTGTTCAGCAGCATACCAGGTGTTTATTGTTATTGCTACTTGGGGGGGTTATGTGTCCTGACACATCTTCAAGTGCAATCTCGTTGTTGTATCTTTGTCATTTCGAAGATCTTGAGGCGGTGCGTACTTTCAGTTGGGGTAGTGGAGTTCTTGGATATTTGTATCGTGAGCTATGCACTGGGGCTTTACTTAGGAAAGTTGTGGAACAAGACGGCACTGTTGAGTTGGATAAGAGGAAAACTAATCTAGGTGGTGCGCTTACTCTGTTACAGGTAATAGGATTTTTGATACTTTTAAAATTTAAATTAGTAGTTTATTATACTTGCGGTTTTTTATATTTTTTTACGTTTAATAATTAGTGTTGGGCATGGTCGAGGATCCCTTTACTCGCTCCAGCAATACTACCAGTAGTAGAAGACGATCCCCGTCGGCTTGCATATCCCCACCCTCCTTACGGTGCACGGTAAACATCTTAGTACTAATAATTTATTTATATAAAGGTTAATATATTGACTTAGCAAATTTTCGTATGATATTACAGTTGGATCAGACCTACTAGTCACACTCGGTCCTCGCGAAACAATATACGTGTTTATCGTACGACCCTCGATCGGATGCTCTGGGATCAGGTTATTTATAAGTTAACAACAATTACGTTAATGTTTGTGGTCTATTTAACAATATATTAAAAAATATTTTTTCTTTCTAGTTTACATGGATGCCTTATAGTGAACTAGATCCTGAGTTTGGCGCTTTACTTGAGCATCCTGAGATAGTGCATCCACAGCTTTGGTTGTCGAGTTGTCCCCTTATATTTTACGAGAGAGTTGAGATGCATCGTCCGTATAGGGTGCTACGTCAGTTTGGGAGGGTACAGCATATACCACCACATCCTATTGATCACGACGATATTGAGATTAAGTTGCATTCTTATGATCGTCGAGGTGCAGGGGGTAGAGATTGGGCTCGTTTTCACGGTGTCTATGTTGATAGATGGCATCGCCGACTTGATTCTCCCGTTGACTATCCATTTATTGAGTTTAGGGGACCTCAGACAGATCCAGGATACTACGAGTGGTATGAGAGGCACACACGTCGTTTGATATCACCGATTGACAATCTTGATGATATCGGTTTTCAGGTCGGAGACCCGATTTTACTGGATCTTGTGGTTAGTATTTTTCTCAAAACAACCATTACTTTCGATGTTTTTCAATTTGTTTTTTCAGTTTCTTAAGTTCTTAAACTTGTAATGCCTTTTATTTCAGGGTAATCAGCTTATATCCATGAGTCTTGCTGCTAGGGCAGTTTCTCGAGATGACGATCAGATATATGATCTGTTTCAGGACAACGCTACACGGATGTATGCAGCTGGGACTCAACTTCTACGTAGAGATGGTGCTTCGTCCAGCTTACCTCCGATACCTGCCATACCTCCTATACCTTCTCCGCAGCGAGATAGACGTACCAGAAGAAGGTCCAGCGCTAGCGAAAGAGCTACTGAATTGGAGGATGACGTGAGACAGACGAGAGAGGGGAACTATTATGCATCTACATCTCGGGTACCTCCATCTGGAGATGTTGCCGGTCCATTTGCTTCCCATACACCCTTTTATGCAGATGTTCCTGTGAACGGAGGTATGGACGATTTATCTACTACACAGGGATTTATGGATATGTTCGGTGCGTCTACATCTCAGGTACCCATATTTACAGATTTAGTTGGTCCATCTACGAATGATTACGTTCCACATATGCCATGGTCCGATTCTCTAGCTACCCCACATCCTCCTGCTATTGATACCCGGTTCTCTTCATGGGGTCCACATTTGGAGCTCAATTTGGGATACTCAAGTCCCCAAGAGCGGATCCGACCACAGTATAATGTTTCCCCTGTTCCATATCCACCGGATGACACCCAGTTAGTTGATGATGTACCGGCAGATCCTGACATTCGTCGAGATGGTAGGCCGCGTAGGACTAGACGGGCACCTGCATGTGGCACTCGTTCACATAGGCACTCACTTCATAGTGCCAATTTTATTTTCTTGTACTCATTTTGAACCTATTTATTTTGTATAACTCTTTTATTTGACCTATTTATTTTATATAACTCTTTTATTTTCTAAAACTCCTTTTGTTTTTGTCTACATGTTTTTAAGATTGTACCCTATTTTATTGTGTTGATTAGATAAATATATGCAATGATTAATTTAATACTAATTGATAAAATGTAATAAATTTAATACTAACATCAAACTAATGAATGTAGTTAGAATTGTTTAATTTGTAAAAAAAATTAAAAATCAAATAATATTAAAAAAATAGAAAATATTAAAATATTAAAAATTAATAAAAATATTAAAAAATAAGAAATTATTAAAATAATAAAATATTAAAAAATATTAAAATATTAAAATATTAAAATATTAAAATATTAAAATATTAAATTATTAAAATATTAAATTATTAAAATATTAGAAGACGCCACCGGTGGCAGCGTCTCCAGCCGGTGCCGCCATTGGCAATGGCGTCTCCGGCTGATGCCGCCGTTGCCGGTGGCGGCCAACCCCAATTTAGTTATTACTCCAAAAACAACCCCATTTTAAAAACTCTATAATAAAACAACCCCAAAAAAAAAATTGCCCCTGAGGGCGGTCTTGCTAATTTTTATTTTTATTTTGTTTTAACTGAAATTTAGTAGATATTAGTCTTACTTTTATGAACGTGTTTCTTATTATTGAAAAATTATGAAATTTTCAGAAAATTTTCGCTAAGTTTTGAAATTTTAAAACTTGTGTGTTCCAAAAATTTTGCGTAATTCCGAAATTTCCAGACGTTTTAGAATTGGAATGAATTTTTAAATTCCGAAAATTTTAAGATTGAAATTGAAATTGATTTTATACTCTCGATTTTTTTAGAAATTTTCCAAAAAAGCTTATTTTGATTCTATCCATCCGACTTTCTCCCCGACAACAACCATATATATTCTGAGGGTTACACACACCCCTACTAATTATAATAACGAGTAAACTGCAAAAAGTACCCCTGTGTAATCTCTAAATATCGAAAACCCCCTTATGATAAATAAACTAGCAAAAACCCCCCTGTGAAATTATTTAAATAGCACACTCGGCCCATTACTCATTTGAGGGTTGACTTCATATAAAAAGACCCAAATACCCCCGGGATTTTGCAATTAATAAATCCTTATATTTTTTAAATATTTTAATTATTTTATTTTTGTTATATCTTAATTATAAAGGTACAATGGGGTCTTTAATTTATTTATATTTTTATTATCACATAATTTTTGTATATATTTTAAATTATCCCTACATCAAAAGAAAACTTAAATTTTATTATTATGTATTTAAAAATATATATACTTAATTTTATTAACAAATTTTTAATAATTTATCAATTTACTTATTTACTATTTTTAACAATATTTTAATTCTTAAACAATCAAATTAAAAAGAAGATATATATACATATAATATATATACATATAAATACATTTTAAGGGTCAATTTCGTCATTTCACGTCCAAAAACCAACTCCCAGTCCCGCAATCCGCGAGTGAGCCACACACAAGTCAACCAGGGGGGTTTTTGCCTTTAACTAAATTTCACAGGGGGGTTTTTCTTAGTTTATTTATTACTGGGGGGTTTTTGCTATTTAGAGATTACACAGGGGTACATTTTGCAGTTTACTCTTATAATAAGGGGAATGGTTTTACAAATGTTTTTCCATATAATAACTATTATAGGATTTAGCCTCATCAATTTCCAAAAAAAATATTATGAGGGAAATATTTATTTTTAATGAATGAAATCCAAAGGAAGTCAGATTCATTTAGCATGCAATATAATCTCCATGCATCCCAGTTTCACGATGGATGCTTGATTAGAATATCAAGATCTCTAATACCAATGTAATGATATAGTTTACATATGTTCTGCCAGTTTTATAAGATTTTTCATGAGACTAGAAAAAATATGTGGCAGAATTAAAAATAAAAAAGAAACAAAGAATATATTGAAGAACTTAATCGATCTCTATCTAGCAGGTACACTTGATAATTATTACCGGTCAATTGAAAATTTGATGAGCACTGACTTTTCAGTCGAGAATGAATTTGATTTAATTATGACCGAAGAACATGAAAATCACGTGTACAAGAAGATGAGGTAGGTAACAAATT